AACTTTGTTAAAAAAAAAAAAATCGTTTCAAATTATTAGACTAGTAATTATTAGAATGTCATTTAAAATGAGTTTTTGTTCTTAATAAGTATATTTGAGGAAAATACGTTTTTTAGTACAATTATTTTTAGATCTGATTTTTAAGGAAATTATCAAAATATCTTTTGAATGTCTTACGGGTTTGTTTTTTCTTGAGTTTTAAATCTATGTTGACGTTTGCTTGTGTAAATAAATTTTAAGAGGTATTTTAATACGCAAAGATAAAATAAGGTTATGTCGGAGAATTTAAGTAATCAGTATTGTTTCAGTTGATTAAACGATTTAAATGAATATGTGTATTTGATTTTATACGAAGGGAAATCTTCCGAAAGGATCACAAGTGACTGTGTAAACATATTGTCGTAGATATAATAAGAAAAGAAAAAGTGACTGTGGCGACCCGTTTGAATACGCTTATGTTCATTATTATTACCATCATCGTCAAGCAGTCCAGGTGTGTATACTGTCTTTGTTTACTTCGGTTATATAAAATGAATGAGTACTCTCGTCGTTATTTGCTTCCTATTCCTTTTGATTGGACATTTCGCCGCTAAAAGCTATTCCGATAAAAAAAACTCAAAAAAAAAAAAAATAATAATAATAATATCGGGTGTGCTTGTGTGTGTACAATAATAATATTATCGTGTAATAACACAAGAGACAGCAACGGTATATATTATATGGGCAAACACATATACAGTCCACACCCAACTTCGTCAGTAAATATTTGACTAGCAGACGTTGGGTCGCCGCTAGTAAACCAGAGGAACAATATCCTCTTCACCACATTTTTACTATTTTAATAATAATAATTATTAATACATAAGTAAACTGGCGTAGGTATACAAAGTGGCCCTGATCAATAAGTAAAGAACTTTTTTCGTATACATAGAAAGAATGAGACTGAGGGTTATAACTTCCTACGCACGAAAGACATTTAGAAAAAATAATGTAGAATTAAAATTTCATTGTAATGAAAACATAAATACTCTGTTGAAAATAATATAAAAATTCCCATGTTAGAATGATTTTTAATATACAAATAATTTTACAGACAAATAGTATAATTTTCATATAAAGTATTAAAAATTTATACATAACTACAACATTTTTATTACAACTTATCTACATGTTTTTTTTACATTGTTTGCGGTAAATCTTTACAATAGTAATACACATATTTAATTAAGTGAAATTTTTATAATTATTTTTTATGTATGTATTTAACGATACAAATATAAAATATAGAAATTTCTTAAAATTATGTCTACTTTAGAAGAAATCCCAGTGGTCAGAAATTCATTAATCATCATATTTATAATATTATATTTGGTATTTGAAATAGACTTGGTAAGAAAAAAGTCGTATATGTATGTTTAATAGTCCGTAATAACATTTTGATATAGCAGTACAAATAAAAAAACTCTGGGCTATGGAAGCTCAGCTCCTATGTTGATTTTTATCATTAATGTCTTTCATGAGTAATAAAGTTTAAATAGTAGAAACAATAATTAATAAGACTATCAGTTGTGGCAAATATTATTTTAAATTGAAAATACATTTAAAATATTAATGTAAAACTAGAAAATATTGAGCTTTCGAAAAGCCACAAAAATTATTATCATTAATTTTTTTTTTTGTGGTTTTTGGAGTAAAGTATTTTTTAATTTTAGTTTAATGTTTTAAATATATTTTAATTTTTACATAGTTCAAATAAATTTAATTATATTCAATTTGAAACTACATCTATTACTAGGTATTATTATCATGATTATTATAAAACCATTACGTTTCTATGACATTTAAGAGCTCTGAAATGTAAGCACGCGCTTAATTTGATGTGCATATTTATATTCGACCCGCCTTCCGAAGTGTTTTTCAGTGGAGTCTGCATACTTAATGTAGTTCATGTAAGAAGAGCTATGGGGGTGGGGGGATTGGTACTTGGCAACGGTCAACAAGGTGGTGACACGAATCAACACAATACGTACCTTAATGACCGCGTACGAAACAATTGTGTCGTGTTTTATTTTTTTATATTTAGTCAACAGATTCTTTGCGTCTTCCGCAGTCAGACAAAATAAGAGAAGTTCAATAATACGACGACCGTCTTCGTAGTGATGTATAAAAATTAATATAGAGGAGATGTAATGTGTAGTGTAATACTAATAATATTTAATGTGGTGTTCTCCGAACAACTCTCGGGGGCTCAACGACCAACACTATGTTATTACCTCACTTATGTGCTACGCTGTCGTACGTTGTCATCGTTAATTGAACGACTCATTATACACGCATAGTTATAAGTCAGAAGGTACGATGACAGGCACGATGGACAAATCAAAAACTTGTACATTTCATATTTAAACAAGTCACGTGTCAAACGAATAAACATTCTTTGTAGGAATTTGCGAATAATAAAAAAAGCATAATTTTACATTTAACCATTTTATAAATCTATTCGTTTAAAACTTTGGAATTGTTAATTAATTGTCTATGCGAAACTAAAAAATGTAAGCGTACAACAGAATGACGTTAGAATAATTCAAACCCGTCTCATTGATGATAAAAATTCCGTTTTTTTTTCCACGATCATTAAAAAAAACTATTATATTCAATTGTATAAACGTACGGGAGTGGATCTGTAGTTTGTGGGATCGGATGCGTCTGCAGTGGCAGTGCGATTGTTGTTTTGAGTTGCGCCGTAGAAGTTTCCCCTCAAATCGGACCGGATGAGTCGCTTTGATATAAAACAGGCGTGTTATAATTCGACCGCGTTCCGACCAATGAAAGTGGTTCAATGGAGGCTTTATAAAAAATATAAACAGTTGAATTATGTAGTATTATGTATGAAGCATTTATTAATAATTTATTCCTTAAAATCATTACAACGATATTTTATATCATGTTTGTTAATGTTGGATATGATGAAATGAATAAATTATAATATATGAATATGTTATATTTATACGAAATATACATCAAAACTAAAAAATCATGTAGGGTTGAAACTAATACATTTTTTGTATTTTATACAATTTTTACATAAATTGTATCGAGTAATAGATCAAAAACTTTTATCAAATCATTTCATATAATGAGTTGATTGAATCATTCAACTATAGTTGAAGTTATTGGTTTTACTATGACAAGCGTTTTATTTTATGTCTGTTGGTGAAAATTCTTAGCTCTCACTCAACCGAGTTACTTTTAAACATTTAGAAAAATATCTAATGGAATTTTCCAAATTATATATATTTGCGTTTAAAAATTTGTATAAATTTTTGTAAATACGAAATCCTAATGAAATTTTAATAGTGTTTACTAGAGACAATAAGCTTTCTTTTAGTAGGCTTTTTGTTAAAATTAGATGAAAGAAGTGTTTGAAAGACACCGCCCTTGCTCGTAAACAATTTTTCTCAACACTATTTTTGAAAAAGGTTCCGTCAAAGAACGTGTGTACTACACAACTGTAAAATTACAGATACACAAATTATCGTACAATTTAACAGATTCGCATTGTAGTGATTTTTATGATAGTGATGTAAACCACTGTCAGATGTCTTCTATACGGGAAGTATACTGGGAAAGTTGCTCCTGCGACGACTCCCACTGTGATGAGGTTCATTTACATTAGAAATAAATGTAAATACACACTATGACAGTTAATACNGATGTAAACCACTGTCAGATGTCTTCTATACTTCCCAGTTGCTCCTGCGACGACTCCCACTGTGATGAGGTTCATTTACATTAGAAATAAATGTAAATACACACTATGACAGTTAATACATTAATGGAGAATTGTCGCATTAACTTGTTCCTAATTTGAATTTTACTTAGGGTTGATAGACATTGACGAGGCATGCCGGTATTGAATTTCAATAAAAAATAATTATTTCCTCTCTTTGTCTTGAGTATTTGCGTTTTGCTCGGTAAAATTTTACTACAGGCCGCACCCCGTCCCTACATTAAATTCTTTGGTTGGTGAGCATAAGTCATATTTTTTTTATTGTCGGTAGGCACATTTTTTTTATAAAATAATAACACGTATAGTGCGTGGTGAACACGAGAACTCTAATTTCATTTTATAAATGATTCCAACAACGTACGCAGCCCGTAATTATAAGTCGTAAAAAGTGCGCCGGTAAATGCGGGACCGCCAAGTGGTCTTATACAACTCCCCTACGAGCTATATAAAATTTCTATATCCACTCACACACATTATTTTGTATAATATACACTGGTAGTTATAAGTTATATACCCAAGTAATGTATGATATTATACCTTGGACATGCCGCACATTTTATACACTTGCTTATGTATACCGGGTAGTCCAATTACACTGATACGATTTCGCTTTGCTACAATTATTCTTTTACGAGCTTTAATATTTTTCAAACTCAAATCCTAAACAATAGGAATCTCGAAAAAATAACGTATGGCGACCATTTTTTCTATACGATTTCATTCATTTTAAGTAAATTTAAAAATATATATATATGATTTTTATCAATTTCCAATCAAAACAAGTAAATTTTCGGACGTTACAATAACTTTCTAATACCCTGTAGATATTTGTTATTCAGTCCTCCCTAGGTCTCGTCACGATCAGCGGTTTATTTATGTTTTTGCTCATATCATTATACGACTGACATATTGCAAACATTCTGCTAGCGGCATGTTTCTTCCATATCTGATTGGAATGCCCATCGTATAACATGGTTGGTTAAAAAATTAATTTAACATGTTATTTACGACAAATACAAAAAAACAATAAAATAGCGCAAATCAGAACACTGAAAGTCCGAGAGTCTTGATATATATATATTGCCTTGGTTATTCTATAAACTTCAACACAACTCCATGTGCTTATGATTTATCTTAGACGCCATGGATTTTACTATAAGATTTATCTAAAAAAAATTATACTGTCTATTTAATTATATTATTTATGTAGGTACTCCAATCAGTCGACTTCCAATCATGGCCAAACGTGTGTTGGATTTGTATACATTGTACAAATTAGTTGTCCAAAGAGGTGGCATTGTAGCAGTCATTACCAAGAAATTGTGGCAGGAAATTATCAGAGGATTAGGACTACCACCGTCCATAACTAGTGCAGCCTTTACTCTACGTACTCAGTAAGTTTTTCCTGAGTAATAGAATCATAAGAGTATTATGTATTGAGTATTAAAGCTCATAAAAATTAATTATAATTAAAAATGTTCTTCTTAACAAGTTTTTTTTGTTTTTTTTTTCAATTTCGGAATTGTTATATCTACTAAAACAATTTTTAAGGTATGTCAAGTATTTGTACGCTTACGAATCCAGGATGAATCAATTCAGCTCTTTAGAAGAACTGAATATGGCGATCGCTGGTAACAGACGTGAGGGAAGACGAAACAAATCTTTACTGTCTGAGTACTTGCCCCAAATGGCTGGTGGCCACCACTTGTCCGATCATCCGCTGTCCGCGTCCCCAACACCGCTGGTTCATCAACACCATCAACAGCAACAATTACATTACGCCAATGTCATGGCTGCTGAAGATAGATTTCGACATTTAGCAGCAGCTATCATGGACACCAGACAACGAGCAGCCGTTGCAGAACAAACTAGACAACCACATTCGTCAAGCGGAGTTGCCAGTCCTTTGGCTGCTTCAGTTGCCGAACAATCTTTCAACGGTCATCAAAATTATCTTCCAGTATCCCCAAACATTGCTCATAGGATATCTGGTGACCAATCAACCAAACAAAGAGGTTAGTTTATTTTTGAAAAATATACAGCGGTTTCAGTTATCTCAGAAAAGATAATATTTTTTTCTATTTTTAAATGATTAGGCATTACACGCTTACAAAGATATGAATAACATGATTTTAATTTCATCAAATAAAAGAGAGTTTCTTTCAGTATAACGCGGTGTTATCAATGAACATGTTTTCTTTAAAGACGTTTTTTAAATAATACAGTAAAAATTCATTTTTTTGAAAATTACTCTTTCTGTCTAAATAATAGTTTTATTTGTAATTCAGTAATTTTAAACAGTCTATTCAACATAAAATTACATTTTCAATGTATTGATTTTTAAAATATTTTCTTCGAGTCTTTATAAATAAAAAAAAAAACAGGTAACTTTATTTTTATGTGTAAATGTAATAATATTTTTACTAAAATTAGTAAATAACGTTGCATTTGCTATTATTGAAAAAAAAATGCGAGTCATATTTGCATTCAAACTATTTAAAAGTAAAGTAATCGTATCAGATTGCAGTATTTGTGCCAAAAACAATATTTTATTCAGTTTCATAAAATACGAGCATTGCAGGTGCAAAAGTATATGACGTTTAAAGATTGTTGGAAAATGCGTTTTACGACTATTGAGCATATATTTAGATAAAAAAAACCGTTACTGTTAGATACGTTATTGGCGTGTCTATTATAAATATGTGTTTATCAACTGATGTAGAGATATTTATATAACGTGTGCGTTTTTTCAAAGGAAAATAACGATTTTGTCACAAGTTTCAGAACAGGAAGCTATACATAAGTTTGTACTTTTTTTAGGAATTGTATATTTTTAATTTCTCTAAAGCTCGTGACATTTTTTATTTTCTGTTTATATAATACAGTTGTAGTGCCAAGAAACGGTTATAATGTAAAAAAGATAAGAGGGATAAAAGTACATCGAGCTAACGGTGACATCTAACAATCCCTTTGACAGGTGTGTACCGCTGTTGCTACCGTCTGACAAGATCCCAAAAATAAATATTTATTTAATTTCACATCTTAAAATGTTTTTATCTTTAATAATCACTTTACTTTGTATTTAGTGTTTTTGTTTTGTGTACAGAGTGCTTCATTTATCATAAATCATTTAATTAATCAAAAAATAAAAATAATGTTGAGAATTTTATTTTTGGTTTCTTTTAGTTACATGTTTCTCACAATTTAAAACTTTTTATTTTCATCCCTTATACCTTAAAAGGGTATCAGACGGAGTTAACAAAAAATTATATTTATGAATTTTCTTATTATGTAAAAGTAAATTAAGTTTAAATATATAGGAATTTACATAGTTAATATTTTTTAATTTGTTTTTAAAATACACTAATGAGTCATCAATGAGACAAGACTTTTTTTTGACAAATCTTGTATTATTATTAAAAGGTTTTTATACGACCTAATTCGCATTCGAATAGAATAACGATTTATAATTCTGTCATTATATCTGTTATTCTGACATGGTATTCGGTCAAAACTGTCTGTGTCGATTCTCACGTGATTTGTTTGCATAGTTCATTAAAGTACACGTAATATTTTCAACACATGCAAACAAAAATATTTTTTAGTCACTGAATAGGTACTCAAAATACATTCAGCACTGTTCATTTTTTTATGCATGTACGAGAAAACTTGTCGAACATCAACTTTTAACATGTTTTAAACAGTTGATTAATATCTAAATATCATGTACATTAACACACAACAGAATGATACTAACAAACGTTGTATTATTATTGACTTTCCTATCCCTACAACAACCACCTGAATGTTAGCAATGTATTCATTATTCTTGGCACGATTATTTTTCAGTTGAATTATTGTTAAGAGCAGAAATGAGCCTTGTCGATAAAAATGAAAAAATTATGATGAACGAAAAAATATTCAAATAATTAACTTTAGTTAGTCTGGAGGTATTACTTCCACAATCTTTTTTCTATACTCGAAGAAATTTTTTATAATTAATATAATATTAATAATATAAACCATTCTGTCTTATTTTGTTTTTCTGAAAGTAATCACAATCTTTTAAATACACTTGGCTGTTGGTAAACCAGAATCGTACGAAGCATTATGATTTTTCTCCCTTGAACTTACGTTGGCCCGTACGACCACCAACCGATTATCTATGTGAATATCATAATATTGATATTATTGTCAGGTGACTGTTTCGGGGACGGAGTTCCAGAGGTTTCGTCAATGTTATCAACGTTCGTCGGCCGCACACATCAAGTAGCATTGTGTTGTAAATACACTGCGCCGTTTCTCGTTGAATAATTATACATAATAATGGCGCACAGGTACGTACACCACCGCGGTGTTGTCTGCTGTGTGTGTTGTGCGCACGTTGTACAAAATGAACACTACTTTTGATACGCCGGCAAGTCACCACGGCTCTCATGAACTGTGTACGGCGCGCGTTTGAATAAATCAATTTACACCGTGACATGGTCGTGTGTTCGTTTAAATCCATCCATAATATAATATATAATACGTGAGCCTTTTGATATTTAAATATTCAACACGGATGCATATTGTTGATTTTTTCCACAGTACACCCCTCCCCCGCCCCATCGTCGCCCGCGTTATAAGACGTTATGAATGTGTATTATACGGGTGTATAATTTTTTTCCTTCAAGTAACTCATGTTCGTACATAAAAAACATTACAAATTACCGGCACTTGTTCATGATTACGACTCTGGTTGTTTTATTCTCGAAACATCACATCGGTTTCCGTACAAAGACGACCGAATAGAGTGTAAGAGTGTATTGCTCTAAATAAAAATGAAAACGTTTTGATTTTCAGCCAATGACAAAATGCAACATTCAACAGCCACCTATATTTGTACTAAACATTGTTCGATTTATAAAATATTTTCATTTAAATTTTCTAAGAGCAATGAATACAATAAATTTAATTTTTAAATTGTTTTTCATCTGTGATGGTAAAAACGTGTTGTAAAACTGTGTCGTTTTGTTTTGCAGAACTACTAAGTATGCTCATGTGGATGGATTTAATGAGAGCAAATCAAACTGCTGGAATGTCCAAACTGCCTATGCCCAGTGAGTTTATATGTGACATATAAAATTTTTACAATAAAGTTTTTATTGAAATTATTAAACTTGCTATTGAAAATTAATATAAATCTATTATTATTTATTATTTAGATATTCCACCTACAAGTCCACCTTCAAATGCTTATGCAGCAATGAACCTGACACACACAGCTGCGGCAGGTCTGCAGTTCAAGACCAGTCCTGTGCCGGAACAATGCGAAGCATTAAACTTAGGGAAAAAACGTCCGGCAAACAACAATAATGCCGGAGAAGATAGTGAAAATGATCATTCGTTCAATAAGCGAATTAAATACGAAGGATTGACGTCACCAGCGCCCGAAAAAATTATCGGTCGAGGATCGGATGACGAAGAAGACCACAGATCCAAAACAACTAGTCCGGTAATAAATAAACGACCTATACCTTCACCAGAACGCCAAGACTACGAAGAAATTGTAGAAATGGACATTAAAGTATCGTCGGGTAAGTTTTTGTCATCTTTGTTGACTAAGTACAGATATTTGATTTGCGGTTAAACATGAAAAGAATGTTATGAATTAAATTAAAAAAAGTCTTACATATTTTTTCTAATATTCAAAAGTGTGAATCATTGCTCTTATTTGTAAGTTGTTGTTTACCGTACGTTTTACATGGTCTGTGTATTATATTGTTAAGATTAAAGACTCTCTTAATTAAGCCCTTAGTTATGAAATTATAGAATGGGTATTTACAGATATTGTGTTATGCATGAGTAACTGTAGTGCAGGTATCCAAGGAAATTTACATTTGAATGAGAGAGACTTAATTTCTTCTTCTTATTTTTCAAGCAAAACGAATGAATAATCTACCTAATATTATACAAAATACAATTACGATTATACATTTCAAATAACACAATTGGAATCCATTAAGTATTAATATTATTTTTTTTTAGTCAGCTCACTTGCATAAATTGTATAGCTCATTTCAACGTGTGCCGTTATTGTTTCTACGTCGCTTACATTTTTCTATGCTATTCATTGACCTAAATATACATGAATATAATAATTTCCATACTTTATTCTATTTATATGTTCATTTGGCCGTGAGTATAAATTAAACAATTGAAATAGAGAAATCAAAAAACAAGGCTTACGTCATGTATTTTCATTTTTCTCGGAATTTAAAAAATACAATTACAATATTTCTGATTGTAATTGAAATCATTGTGTTTGAATTCAATGTATAATACTCTAGTTACTATTCCTATGTACTTCCATCGTCGGCAAATATAAATAAGGTCATGAAAATTGTATTAATAGGGCGGCGAGATTAGTGTTTGTGTGGAATTATTTACGGATAGAACGTTTTTGAGGGAGATTTGAATAACAATTAAATGTGTACAAACATATACAATTCATTACTAAAATTCAACACCTTGACTTTGTTTCTTATGTAACAATAATCTATCATTAGTCATAACAAAAATAGATTGTATATAAATTTGATGCATGTAATACGTGATAAAATGTTAGTTTTTTTTATGGAACAATGTTTGTTATATTAATAGGTTTATCATCTAATGGTCTCACAATAAACGTAAGTCGAAAAACCAAAGGTGGTGTTTATATTGGACAGTTGGCTAAGTCAGAAACAGCTCTAAATGGAAGTAAGTTATACTTTTTCAAAGTTTGAAACAATTTTAATAATTTTTTTAAAGTTTTTTCGTTAAATAAATATTACAAAAATAATCTAAGCATGAGATTTAGTTCATTTACACATTTCTGTTACATTTTGCTGTTAATCAAAAATTACATATTGACAGAATAAATTTATATAATCATAATTTCTTTTTAAAGTAAACATTGTTTACATACATCAACATTTTATATTTTAAATAGGAGTTGACAGTCCTTTTTTATTGCGTTTAAACGGTGAACTCTACACTGGACACCTTCAACTCCGCCAAAATAATCAACGAGGTCATTACGATAGAATAAGTTAAATTAGATTGCAGTAGACACATGTAGTATACACTAGACATTGAATTCTAGATTAATTGTAATGTACATTTTGTCTCGAGTGTTTTTTTCAGTAAACTATAAAACTCAGAAATACTGTTTACTGAAATCAATTATACTTTTTTCTACTTATAAGATAATTTTTTCAATTTTTTAAGATTTTAAGATTAAACCGTTAGACGGTCATAAATAATTTCGCGTTATTGTAAAAAGTAACATTAATTTGTATTAATAAAATAAGCTTTTATATAAATATCTAATGTAAATATTTTATACTATGACATTGTATATATTTTTAATGCACATGAATTGTTTTCATTAATTAAATAATTATTTGTGTAGGTGTTTTAAAAAATGATTGGAAATTTTTTATTTTTGTATAACAACCCATTCAAAATTGTTTTTTTTTTTAAATATTATTAAAGCTATGTATTGAATATAAATTGTTAGGGCTGTGCATTCTTCATGTATAGATCTCATTCTCATAAAATACGAGAAGTCTTCATGTGGACTACTTTTAGTTCAATACATAATGAACACTTTTATGGTGATTACTGATTTTCTTTATTATAAATTTTAGTTGTACAACAAAATTTATCTATAATATTGTACATTTTAATATTAGAAGTAGCGTTTACATATTTATATCGATTATTGACTTGTGTTGTATAATAGGATATTTTTAATTTACTGTACATATTATAATAAACGATAAAAGTATATTACACTTATTTAAACGCCAGTTCATTATTATTTCTCTCGTTATCTTTCAAATGGTCATATTTTAGACTCTTATAGGACGATGGTTCGAGTAAAAAGCGCTTCCGGTATTTTCATAGAGTAATAAACGTCCAACACAAATAGCTTGCAATGAATACTGCAACTAACAAAATGGACTTAAAGGTAAGCATACTCAATTTGCGATGCAGTAAAGAATGAATTGAGTAGTAAAAAAATATAGAAAAGCATAACTTAAATTTACAGTATAGAATTTGTAATATTGTTATGTGTACAATATTAGACTTTGTTACTTTTGTTGAATCTATTTACATTAAAAACAAATAGTTTTCTTGATTGATTTTGATACGATTCTTTTGATTATAATCTTCACACAGTGTTAAAAAACCATAGAAAATAACAAATGTATAGGTGTCTACTATAATATGACGATTCGTGTGTTTTGTAGGTAAACGATACTATTTAAATTATTATCTATTGATTATACAATAAATATTATTAATGATTATCATTTATCCAATACTTTATTGTAGACATCTACCACGTGATAATTCAAATATAAATTAAATATAATTCATTCACAATATAAGAGATTTAACTCTAATATATTTGGAAGGTATTTTAGTAAAAAAAGATATGGAGTGTTTGTTTTTAGAGTATTTATAGTTTTATGACGAGGTTTTGAACTTGTTGCTGAGTTCATTTTTGGAGAGATAGTTAAAAGTCATAAGCTTTAACTCAGTATAGTTAAAATATATTGTTATTTTAATTTGGTAACTTACAAATATACATCGGTCAATGAGAATGTTTTTATTTTTTAAAGCGACCAATTTCTATTGTCATACAGGATTGTTTTTACACAGATGAATATTTATTAGACGACATGTTTATAAAAAAATTAAGCCTGTTGTAGTTTGTCATATTTATATAATTAAGGCTTGATAGGCTTGTTTTACAAATATCAATCATAATATCACCACAATGGTAATAGAGTACCAAATATGAGCGACAAGAATTTTCAATTTTTGGTGTTGTTTAAAAATATCTAACTTATAAAAACAAATACCATCATAACTATGTGTCAAGATTAACGATATTATAATTTTTTGGTAAAATTACTGTTTTTACGTCGACGCTAATTAGTTCCTATCTATTCAGCTGTCAAAAATATTTCACACTTTATACCTGTGAATGAGGAAATGACTACAAATAATACGTGTAAACATACTGCGATGTTTAATGTATTGTACACAATATTTTTAGTCATTTTTCAGATTGTAGATATTTGTTTTAAAAACAAGATATTTAAATAGATTTTATGATCTAATCTATCGGATTAATGATTTTAAGTCCAAAAAATAAAACAATTATTACTCACGGCCTTTGAAAAAATCGGCCTAATACGGTCTGAGATATAAACATAAATTTATTTGAAACAAAGTTCAACCCTATTAATTTTTACATTAAAATTACAGGGAGAGACGTACTGATTTTTTGTATCCCTACTGCTTTATTTTTTTTTAAATAAATCGTGTATTCTTGATAGTTTATCTGTTAAAATACTTTATAAAAATTATGTAAACGATTTAAAAGATTAAATAATGGATTCGTGCCAAAAGTTAATATAAAAATCTTTTGTATTATATTATTTAATCATTTCTTTATTTTAAATCATTATTTTTAGTCGACTTCAAAGTGACAATAGTTGTGATTTCCTTTCAACCGTGATTGTTTCAACATCCGATAAATAACAATAAATCAACTTTTAATAGTTTTGAGGCGAAAACTCTTTGATACTACTTTAGTAAAAATTACAACAGTTTTATACCCAGTAACCAAGTTACTTGATTTACAATAATGTTTAATAAATACAGTAATAAAAAATATAATGATCATTTAAATAAAATGAACAAATTTAAAACGTTTAAAAACTACTTTAATTACCATAGTAATGTAAAATTTGTTAGGAAAAAATGTTTGCTTATAATAATTTAGATTTAATACATAAAATTGTACTCTACGTAATAAATAAATAATTCTAATGATTGTAGTAGACATTTAAATTTTAGTAAATCAAAAATATTTGCATGATGCTTAATGAAAAATTAAGTAGACGCTGTAGTTTCCTAGTTTTCCAATTTGTGGAATTTCGGTAAAATTTTTTCAAGAGTGCACGTTAAAAAGCAAAAACACTACTAAACTTTTAGTAATTAAGTAAATATAATTAGAAAAGCCCTTTTCAACATTGCACTTTATGATTGCTGATGATTTTTTTTCTTTATATTATCACCAAACTTTAAAACTTTTGGTAGTCTCAACTTTAGTTTTTTGCTCATCTGATCAAAAGATTACATTATACGTAAACTATATCTATTCCTCAAAAAATAAGAAAATCTTATAGGATAGCGTTTTTTATAGACAGGGTGGACTAAAAGGCTAAAAGGGGAAATAAATTTGTGGTGACTATTCGCTTCAAAAATGTTGCATCGACCAATAAAATTTTCAAAAAAAAAAAAATGTTTTCATGCTCTGAAAATCATAATTAAAAAATCCAACATACTATCAATTATTTTTAGCATTAGTGATACATTAATTGATATTATTATCATTAATTGAAATTAATTGTATATATATATATATAATAGTTAAACATAATTCTTTGCAAGATATAGCCGGCCTAATTACGTTATTCATATTTTCCGCCATTACTCTATACAGAGGGCGGCCTCAGGGGCATTTGCCCTTTACTCCCGCCCGGAAAAAAAATTATCAAAAAACGGTAAGTTATAGGATAAAAAACATTGATTTATTTCTAGTAAATTTAATAGTGTTTATGGACTAAATGTTACAACAGCGCGAACAATTTAAAACTTTTTAATGTAACGTTCATATGCGCCTTCTTCTCTTAAACGTGATATGGGTAATAGTTAAAGTTCAATTAAAGTACCGTATTCGGTAAACATAATTATTTAATTAAGATGAATTGGTTGCGAATCCATTGTCTTTGTGTGCCTATTTTTAGAACGTTCAATCAGTGGCTTGTGGCGACCCTCCGGAGAATTGCGTTAAACAATGCGAATTATCGTTATTATTAAAATCATAACATTAATTCGTGTAGTTATTACAATCTTTGGGACACACAGGACGCACACCTTGTACGGCTTTCTGCGGCGGCGGCAACGACGTAGCGGGTACAAGTAGGCGTGGCTCCAGCCAATAAGAGAAGTTCTCCCTCTTGGCTCCCCTCTCCGCCCCAAAACGTTATAGTGGTTTTCTTCGGCTTTGGAGCCCGTGACTGTCGTTGATACACATTCGCATACACACGCGCCAACAATACGCATTCGTCACCACCGCCGCCGCCGCCGCCGCTTCCGGTCGGACGTCACCCCGCACGTTTGTTCTTGGGGGTTTTTTTTTATCTAATTTTTTAATTCGTTTTGTGAGATGTAAAGTGATTCATGTTCTGCTTATCATCGTAGTGCCGTCATTGTCGATCGCGCAACTGGCCCTAAGTCACAGGATATCTCTTTACCTGTGAACTGGATGAAAAATACAAAATACAATACTATTCAAAATTGGCCGTGTTAAGCAGAACCCCGTCCGTGCAGTAGCTGTCGGCGAAACCGATTCGCTAGACTCGCACAAGGATATGGTAAGACATAAAATTTTTCAAGTCAGACTTGTACATTGTATTTTAGAATTTTTGTTTTTTTTAATGTTTTGGTTACAAACGAAATCTTATTAACAACAGTAAATACATATTATATCTTAATTATGATTTACAAACAAATTTTAGTTGAGTATTTTGTTTTTAAAATGAATTCAACATTTTTTTTACTAACTATATTTTGTTATAACCCAATAATTTGAAAATATCAAGAATTCTTTACCGCGATCTTAAATATGTCTTTTTTGAAACGATAATATAATATACTGATGTCTAATTGAAATAACGAATAAATGTTACTCGGTTACCACTCAATTACTTAGAAACTCTTACTGAAATATCAATAATAAAATACGTTTGATTTTATTTCTCTGATAACACCGATTCATAAAATTTATAATTAGTTTAGGGCCGACACAGATAAATAATACAATTATAAATTTTATTATGCCTATTAACGTTCTATTTTGATATTATCAAAAGTTCAACTACCTTTAGAGTTCATAAAAATAGAGAATTCCCAAAATAATTTTAATTGATTGCAATTTAATTTACACTTAATTGACCTTTTTTATCTGTAAAGTCAGTACCTGTTTAGACAATGAATCATAACCATGCGGATAAAAGCTTTCCAGATCATTTTTTTTTTTACATGCACAGAAATAAAAATTAAATTTATTAAATAGTTATTACTTTTAAAACATTGTTAAACAAATATAATAAATAATCAACGATTATTTATTTCTGAAATATATTTTTCTGGTTTTAATTTAGTTAAAATTGGTGTTTCGCTTTACCTTATAAATAACTTTTATTTAGACATTTAAGGAATGATATAATGAATTTTTCAGAAATTAATTATCTTAATAATTTATTAAAATATAAAAATAGTAGTTATTGAGTTCAACAATATAATGTTGACGGTTTTATCAAGAAACCTTGTCGTCTGCCCACTAATCACGCTGTAATGTCGATTTAATGATCGTTGTTTTTAATCTCAAAACTATCTTACTTAATTTACATTAATCCCCTATGGGTAATATTATTTAATAATATAAATAGAAGGATACGTGCCTGAGTTTCTCTGAATTGATGTTGTTACATTGTGATATGTCATTCTAAATTTTCCCCCTTACCTACGGGCTATGGAAATTTAATTAGGTCGATTACCTGTATAATATTAAGGTGATGCTATCATACCACTTTTCGTATCATTTAACAGTTGTCACATTAGTTTTAAAATGTTTCATATTAATTTGTCTGAACAATATTTTAAACGAACCTTGAAGTCTAAGGAATATTTTGATATCAAGATGTAATGTAAAAATATTGAGGACTTAATCTTTATTATTCTATGGCCAGTCTACACCCAAAGAAAAACCTCAATCAAAATTGAAAGAGAAATTTTATCAAGGGTTTATGATAATGTTTTATTAATACGAACAAAATAACTATTCTTATAAATAATTATTGTTCAAGACAAGAAAAAAAAATATCATATTGATAAATATATCATTGATTCAATAGTAATGATATATTTATCAAATTGAACAATGAATTTATTATATAGATCGAGGTTTTTCTCTGGGTGTATAAAGAAGTGTACATTTTATATAATTTATTATTTTGTTGTATCTTACATTTTTTTTCCAAGTACCCAATTAAAGTGTACTTTAGATATAAAAAAAAATTTCTCATATAACAAGATTTTCTCGATTCTCTAACTAGATTATTACTCAAATCAACTAATAAAACTGCAAAGTGTTAAAATGGTATTTTAGAAAGAGTTCTATCATTTACCTCCGTCTATCATGTACTCCGATTTTTATTTACAACCACTCGATCGTGTTAAATCCTTTTTGTTACCTTAAAAGATCAATCGGTTTGTGCTGTTAATTTTCTGGTCGATGACAAATTGTAAGACGGCCGCTAATAAGATTTATTGGATTCTCATTTATGTAGGATATAAAAATTATACAGCAGGTTACAATACTGATAAAAAGATCAGGCCCTTGACCGTCGCGGTCCCGTTCGTCGTGCGCGCCTAGTTTCCAAGGACATTGTAATGTGTACATACATTAAATTGATAAATAGTATACAATACAACCTTTTTCTTAAAAAATCCGAAACTCGATTCACAAATGTTTGTTTAGTCTTGCGTTTCGGGGTGACGACGACTAGACAGAGACGACGTTCAAAGAAGCCGCGCGTTAGGTTCCTTTTTTAAAAAGGGTAGTTTTTATAGAGGTGGAATAGCACAAAACGTATAAAGAAGATATCACGAGCTCGCTTTATACTCAGTGTGTACATATACACGAACCGCCGCCGCCTATGATAATAGCGGGTGGTATATATTTTTATATTATATTTGTTCAATAATTTGTCTTTCCCGCTTCGTTCTGTTCGATGTGTGCCCGTTTTGTTGACATATGGCCCCGACACACAGCAACCCTCCAGTGCGATCACAACGTTATAGAGTAATCTTAAACCTCACAAATAGTCGATAAACAACCGTGTAATCGTTTCGTGTGCATTGGTAATAATTGATAAAACAAAACTGGTTGCAGGTACGCGTACACGATAAAAATAATAAAAGACATTATGCGTTACACTAGTTTACTCTTTTTTTTTTTTTTTCTTAGTAGATTGAAAACACATTTAAACTTTGGTGGCCTGCACTCGTATATAATAAAATTTAACGATAATTATACGATAAAAATATTCCAACAGACGCATAATATAATGCCATTAGCAATTACAATTAGACATAAATTTCAATAATTGTGTACAAAGAATAATTGTTAAGACACGAGTCATCGAAACTACTGTATAATTATTACTCATATTCTCTGTTTCTTGTGTCATATAAAATGATTTTCTCTTTGTTTTTAATGTGTTTAATAGTTATTAATGCACAATACCATAATGTATTTTAACATAAACACATAACAGTCAAATTTAATATTGAATTTTAACTGTAATGTTATGTAATGTAATAAATACTAATCGTTTGAAATAAAATTACTAGAAGTTAAAAATAATGCAATAAATATTTTTTATGAATAGTTTTTACATGAATATATATTTTTATGAAAACAAAAATGTTATATGGATTTTCTATAAACGGCATTCCGGCGTTTCAGTTTTAACTTAATGATTTTTATCTAAATTCTTTTGCTTGATAAATTCCTGTAGCTAAATTTTCCATCTATTTGTGTTACAAGAAGAAATATCAACGCAAGTACAATGCTATTTACTTATTTCGTGAATGGCAATACTAGATAATATGGAAGTAATTATTAACTTTTCAGTGTTTTCACAAACATCTAAGAACTCACGAGGAAGTTTACTTACACATTAAATTTGTATTTATTTTTAGGGAAGGGCACATGCTAAATTCCAACACGCCTCTAAATAACATTATATCTTTTCATATATTGTCATTTTGATTTTTACTTAAATTTTATAATTTTAATCATTTTTTCAATTATCTACTTGTTATAAAGTACGCGGATGAGTTCATCGTGTGATAAAACTACACAGGTTATTGATAGCTTACAGGTATAGTACTTTGGTATACACTACCTTAAAAGTTTATTTAAAATGTATTATACTATTGTTGAATTAACGTCTAATTGTCTTGGGAATAAATTAACCTGTTATTAATGTATTAAAAAAACCCAAACAATATATTCAAGTAAAAATAAGGATGTAATAAATAAAAGGATAGTCCACATGTTACACGAACACATTTAATATACCTATGTAAACAAACTAATGTGTTATTATTAAATGAATACGTTTTATCTCACATTTGATAAAACATTATCTCGTGAATAACTGAAATTGATACAATGTATCAATAATTATTTTGTAGGCATATTATAAGTAAGTTATACATATTTGTTATCTGTTTTTGGGTGTATACATAAAAAAGGATTGTTTGATGTTCAGTAATTAATAACTTAGAGTTACTTGACAATTAACTCTAGTATAATTGTTTTAGAATTTTTGTGTAACTTTTTATTTATCAATTAATTATGATAATTATTTTAAAAAGTTAATGCTTCTTACTTTTTTTAAACTTGTAGAGTTTTTAAATTTGGCTTTTTTTTAAAACCAAATTGTAATAATATCAGACAGTTCCAGCAACAAAAGAACAAATATGAAAAAAATATTATAAATATTTACCCATAGCTATCTATTAAAACTGGTAAACCATTTGTTAGACTCAACTTATCGTCGTCTTGTCTACATTAAGTTATTTCCNATTATTTTAAAAAGTTAATGCTTCTTACTTTTTTTAAACTTGTAGAGTTTTTAAATTTGGCTTTTTTTAAAACCAAATTGTAATAATATCAGACAGTTCCAGCAACAAAAGAACAAATATGAAAAAAATATTATAAATGTTTACCCATAGCTATCTATTAAAACTGGTAAACCATTTGTTAGACTCAACTTATCGTCGTCTTGTCTACATTAAGTTATTTCCTAGCGTTATCAGGTATCAATTATATTTTATTATTAAATAATTGCTGATTATTAATGAGAATTCGGAAAAAAAACTATGATAATTATTCTATATGACAAAATATTATATTTCTTATCATTATAGTTCTTATTCAACGCTATATGAGTAAAAGTAAGAACTTTAAAAAGAAAACATTTTGTACTATATTAAAAACGATTTATTTGTGTGTAGTGTCCTATATATTTTTTTGTATTGCTCATAGTTTCGTGGGATTTTGACTTGGAGATTCCCTCCAAATACAGCATAACATCAAAAAACAAAAAAATGATTACTTAAGTTTTCATAGCTGCAATAATTGCTTAATACAGATTAAATTAATATTAACCATAACTTTTGAAGATTATAATTTTTTGTTTTAATATATTTTCTCATTCTACCCTTGGCTGAGAGGTGAATTCTTGGAGTCTGTGCAAAATGTGTCCTTGACGGTAACAGACGTCTTATGTTTCATGTT